TATGAGGGTTGGAAATGCAAAGGTAGAAGTTTTGTAACAAGGAAGGGAGTGATTAAATCTCCAGGATAGGTGCGGAGACCTCTGGACCATCAACGGAGAAGAGCCGAGAGCGGGACCCTACCCAGAGAAACAGAGATGCCTGAGATGGAGGCAGAGAGGATGACGCGGAGTGATGAAGCGACTGGGGACTTTGGACTCAGAGAGGGAAAGGGACTGTGGGCCGAAAACTGGGGGGACGAGGGGGAAGTGTAGGGGGCAGGTTTCTGGGATATACCCTTTGGGTGGTTGATGATGCATGGAGGAGACTGGAACCATGGCAATGAGATGATATACGATGGAATGAATGTAAAACTAAAGTTCCCCCATGTAAACTATCATATAATTCACAATAAAACATTTAAAAAAAAAAGAATATCATGCATGAAGAAAGCAAAAGGGCATTAAAAAGACAATAAATAAAGAAAAGACCAAAATTTCTGTTAAAGACTCAGAAACTTGCTCTTGAGCACAGAGAAGCTAAAGTGAATGGAAGAAATAAGGAATTAAAGAGCCAAAAAGAAAATTTAAAGGACAGCCAGACAAGAAAATTCAACCCATCAGGGTAATCCCCCTTTGAAGTCTGAAACTCAAGGGGAACACACAAATAGCCTTGTGTGCTTGCTGGTGACCACCCTGGTCTACTTGTGAGTAGAATTGTAGGGAAAATGCAGGAATGAAGACCTGGGCTGAGCATGGCCATGTTCCATTGACACTTGTTGAGCTTGGGATGAGCTAGAGAAGACGATGGGCTGGCTGGTCTGAAGTTTAGGTAAGTGTGTGAACTCCTGAGCCCATGGACACTTACGTAGGCTGGAGCTGAGAGTAAAGCAGCCAGCTGGTATGATGTGGGGGGAGGTGTGCAAGAACTCCCAAACTGGCAGATAGTACCCATTTGTCATAGCTTGGATGGCTAGGTGACCAGAACTGGGCTAGATGAAGATAAAGAAATCTGATACAGGGAACAAGAATAAATTAGCACAATTTGATGAACTGGACCTTTGCCTTATGGGTGTAGTTGCTCAAAATTGCAACTGAAAGGGAAGGACTCTTCATATCAAGGATCAAGCTTGCCTCCTCAGTACATTGGGTTAATAAGGATGGGCAACTTAACATTGGCTATCAAAAATGGGGGGCTGTAAAGGCAAGAAGTGGCTGGTTTATAAGCTTTCATAAGTGTTCTTAGTTTCAGAACAAGGTGGGTAAGGTAGAATCCCCACTGACTAGTTTTTCTCTTTTCCAGATGGGTCTGGTGAAGGGGTAGGGGAGGACAGGGATAGAATTTTACAATTCAATTGTGTGTAACTGTTATCAGGACTAATTATGATTATCACAGCTGTAAATGTAGAAAATGTGTAACTAAAAGGGGGTGGTGGTGGGTGTTAACCTTCCATTTCAGGAACAGAGGACACTAGGACCAGTAAGAGGGAAGAGCAGGAGTGGTGTGTGGGATCCTAACCAAAAAAGCAGTGACAGGACAGACAGTGGCAGAGGCAGTGGCATTGAGAGCAGTTGAGGACTCTAAGCCCATGGACTGAGAAGGGCTGTGTGCGACTGACTTGCAAAGTGTGTCTTTTGGACACTTAAATGAATATGTATTTTGTTTTGAATGTGTACATCAAAAAAAAAATTTTTTTTAAGGGAATAGAGGTAAATATTGTTGACTGATAGTAACTTGGAGGGGATTGTAATATGATTTATGAACTGTAAAACTGTTAATCCACCCTGTAAACTTTCACTCAATTCACAATAAAAACAAAAAGGCAGTCCAAGAAGACAAAGTCAAGCATTATAATGAAATGTACAAAGACTTGGAATTACAAAACCAGCATTTCTCAAGCAAAAAGAACTGAAGAAAAAATTCAAAGTTTGACTTGAAATACTGAAGGATCCTGTGGACAAAATATTGAATGACACAGGAAACATCAAAAGATGGAATACAGAGTCACTATACCCAAAAAAAAAAAAAAAACTGCTTGGGTCCACAGTCAATGCTCATGGAAGCAGCAATCAAGAAATCAAAGGACATATTGCATTAAAGCAAATCTGCTGTAAAAGACCTCTTTAAAAGTGTTCAAGAGCAAAGATATCATTAGACTAAGTTGCACCTGACCCAAGTCATGGTATCTTCAATCAACTCATATGCATGTGAAAGACTATGGATAAAGATTTAAGAACGTCCATTTGAATTAGTGTTACTATAGAATATTCACCACTAGAAAAACAAAGCCAGAATGGTCCTTAGAGGCAAGGATGGCGAGATTTGTCTCTTACTTTGGACATGGTATCAGGAAGGACCAGATCCTGGAGGACATGATGCTTGGTAAAGTGGAGGGTCAGACCCTTAAGGAGATGAACTGACACACTGGCTATAATAGTGGGCTCAAACATGGGAGCAGTTATGAGGATAGTGCAGAACCAGGCAGTGTTTGGTTCTGTGGTACACAGGGTGATTATGCGTCAGAACAGCTTTTAAGGCACACAACAGCAGTACCTTTGCAATTGTGATCTTGGGGAAGCTATTTAATCTCTCTGTACTTGTTACCTTGTGTAAAACAGGGAGAATGACAGTAATTACTTCAGTTATTATGAGGACTAAAGGAGTTAATATAACTAGTGTTATATTAACTAGTGCCTAGCATGTGATGCTATTCCTGTAATAACTGTTCTACAACTCACTCCCAATTTCTATTCCCAGTCTCCAACCCCCAAACATGCTGTTCTTTTCCAGGCCTCCCTCCTTGCCTTTTGTACTTGAAAATTTCCATTGTCTTTTCTAGTGACCTCAGAATCTCTAAGCCAATGAATGCTTTTCAATTCTGGATATTTTAACCATCAAAAGAAAAAAAAATGTAACTTTCAAATTCTGATCTCCCTTCTAGTTGCTCTCTCTTGATATTAAAAAAAACACACACAACTCTTCTAGCACTGCCGCTATCCTATCACTTAACTCAGTCTCTCTAAACTTTTGAATGACCAATCCACCATAGTGTTTCTATTTCTACATCTCTTCATTCCAAACACTGCTGAATCTACTGTTTCCCAATTGTCAAATTGAAGACATTTTGACTTTCCAAATCACTTTGGGTATTTTCTTCACAGATTCTATTTTGCGTCTCTTTCTTTAAATATTAGATTTCCCTGGTTCAATCCTTTTTCCCATGTGCCCTTCCTTGATTGTATCTTCCAGGGTCTTAATGTAACTTAGAAATTAACCCCAAATTTTAATAAACCAGATTTACAGCAAATGTATAGATATTACTACTTGTATGCTCCATTGTTGTCAAGTGTTGTGGAATCCATTGGTTCCTCAAAATCAGACTACATTTTGTCCCTAGTATTTCCTTGGCATATGCCACTATCCTCCATCCACTGGCTTGTCACCTAACCCAAAATGATTCTTTCCAACCTTCCCATTATTCCTGACATTCCATCACAAAACTCCATTAATTTTACCTTGTAAATTAGTAGACTCCTAACTTACCCTCGTTGATCTACTTGTGCTACTTTCCAAATAATCTTTCTAGAACCCATATAAAAACAGTCACTTCTAATACCTTTGGTGATGTGCCATGGTTAGTCCTGACCCAAAGCGACCATGTATAGGGTTTCCAAGGCTGTCTTTACAGGAGCAGAAAGCCTCAATTTTCTCTTGCAGAATGGCTGGTAGTTTCAAACTGCTAACCTTGAGATTAGTAGTCCAATTTGTAACCACTACGCTACCAGAGCTCCTTCTAATACCAATGAGTTGGGCTGCAAACCTCAAGGTCAGTAGTTCGAAACTTACCAGCTGTTCTCGTGGGAGAAAGATGAGGCTTTCTGCTCCTGTAAAGATTTACAGCCTCCGAAACCTTATGCAGGGCCACTATGAATCGGAACCTACTCCACGGCACACCACCACCACCACGCTACCAAAGCTCCTAATACCTTTAGTTACAGCTAAAACTCCTTGGTTGTGGCACTGTAGGATCAACATTGGACTGCCAACTACAAGGTTGGCAGCTCAAGCCTACCAATTGTTACTTGGGACTCCTATACAGGGTTGCTGAGTCAGAACTGACTCAACAGCGCTTATCAAAACTTAGAGAAGAAAAATGATGCTCTTCATGATCTGGTCCCTATGACTATACAGCTTTTGTTTTCTGCCTCTTTTTCTAAACCGGCCTATCATGTTTTGGCACATACTTGGAATGTTTACTTTTAAAGGTTTGCAGATTGTCTCCAGGATGACTTTTCTAATTCAAATTCCTACATTCTTGGTTAGGTGATGCTTCTGTGTCCCCAAAGCATCTTGGGCTTTCATTTGTCAGATTATTCTTTGTTGCTAAGTGCCACGGAGTCAGTTCTGATTCACAGCAACCCTATATAGGGTTTCTAAGGAGCGGATGTTGGGTGTGAACCGCTGACCTTGCAGTCCAGTGCATATTTTATAGTGCCACACCACTTTATCATAGCACCTATCATACCATGGAGTCCTGGTGTGGAACTATAGGGTAAGCACTGGACGCAAGTTTGATCTGATCCACAAGGTTGGTGGTTTACACATCTGCCACTCCTTGAAAACCCTATAAAGGGTTGCTGAATCAGAATCAAATCCATGGCACTTTACAACACTATACTGTAAACAAGGAGCTCTAATAGTGTAGTGGTTATCAATCGGGCTGCTAATGTCAGTCAGCAGTTCGAAACTACCAGCTGTTCCGTGGGAGAAAGAGGATTTCTGCTCCCGTAAAGATTTACAGCCTTAGAAATCCTGTACAGGGTTGCTATGAGTCGGAGGTGACTCCACAGCACTTAACAATAAACAATTTAAATTTAGCCCCTCACCACTAGAATTCCCCTACAAAGTGTAGTAAAGTTGGTTCACTTTATGTTTCTGACACCTAATATAACAGATACCAGATTTTCAAGTGTTTTTCAATTGAATGATGCTGGCTGATACTTTTTTTTTCCTTTCCTAACAGTTGTTAGCCCTGAAGACCAGGTCACCCCAATAGGAAGGCTAAAGGTTTCCCTTCAAGCTGCTGCCGCTTTCCATGCTATTTATAAGGAGATGACAGAAGATTTATGTGATGGAACAAATGCTATTCCATTCCAAAATCTGAGGGAACCACAGTAAAAAAGTCTCTTATAAAGTTAACTTGCTATATCATGAATGCGCCTACTGTGATGTCTAGTATCTCTGTAAACTATCAGAAGCCTAGAATGATGAAAGTTATCTTTGTGACACTAATGTTGCTATATCGTGAATGCGCCTACTGTGTGATGTCTAGTACCTTGTGAACTATCAGAAGCCTAGAATGATGAGTTATCTTTGTGACACTAATGTCACAGAAGCCTTTTTAAGGCCTTCTTTTTAGCACCTAACCAGGTGAGTAGACTTGCTTTCAGGAACTACAAAAGAACTGTCACAAAAGTGGAATTTACAAAAACAAAACAACAACAAAAAACCCCAGTTTATTTATCTTTTAGTTCTTCCAAAATTGAAAATACCAAGTCCTACTGCTAAGGAGAAAAAACAAACAAATAAACAAAATCCAAGACTCCCCCCTCCCCCTTCTCTTAAAGTCACAGAACACAGAAGGAACTGCAGTGGGACAGGTAGGTACAGAGAACCAGGAGGGGGAAGATGGCAAGATAAATTCTCCAAATACTTAAAAAAGCTGTTCAACAGAAACTGTGATAAATACAGGACAATGCTAGACAAGTAAAAATTAGGAGCAGCAGTGACAAGAGGCTTTGTTGGAGATATGGCCTCGCTTCCTCTTCTCTTTTCTCATCAGGGTATTATTCTAGGCCCAAGGCATAACTTGCCCCTTCCAGATCTAAATGTTAACTCCTTTGAGCCAGCTCTAGATTCACTATAGAAACAATATATGAGACACAACCATTCTTCCTCAAATAACATGTCAGAAAAGGAAAATGGTCATTTTGTCTTCTACCACTGTCATGTGTGAATTTATAGAGGATGAAACCGGGTCAGGGAGTATCACTACTTATGTCTTCCAAGGCAGCAGAAAACCTCAGAATCTCAATGAGTCAGAAAGCAGACAAACTCTGCTGGAAGGACCAGCCCAATCTGCTCACTAGCTCAAGTTGTGTGAATGAGAACAACCATTAGCAAATTCCTAAAGCCTTTTCTTGAGTATTGCAAAGATGGACAGAAGAGAGATGTGAGGAAGGCCATGGCAGTAAGGTAGGAGGAAGAACCAAATCTGCTGGTCAAGGACCATGGGACAGGCAGTTAAGGGTCACCTTGGACCAATGTCTTCGAAATATAGCTGAGACACCTAAGAATAAGATGTCTGAAGCCATCGATGTGCTGGCAGAAGGTGACGGGAAAAGTGAGGAATGAAACAAGATTTATTAACAGCGGGAAGCCTCTGCCCTTCTTCAAGAACACCTCCTCCCTTGCCATCTGGATGGGGCCATTGGCACGTGTCCTGGTGGGCCTGGAATTCCCCGAGTAGATTGGTCCACACAAATGGCCCCCTAAACCCATAAACACAAATGGCAAAACTTCAAAAGAAAACAAAAAAATACAGTTTCTATGTCATGTAAAATTTTCAGGGGTTGGCTGAAGGAAAAATGGAGGTCAGGACCAAAGTTCAGAAGTTACTTCCTCTTTTTCTTGGGTGGTGCAGAGCTATGTCTTGAACTACAGAGCCCCAGCCTGAACTGTGCACAGATGCCTTCCTCTTTCGGCTCATACTTCGACTCTGTTCTTCTTCTTCTTCATAACGACTTTCACGATCCGCTAAACAGAAGAGAGTCACTAGTTATAAAAACCTGAATAGAACTGGATAGCATGATACAGCACACAGGGCACTTTAGAATCAGATGTAGACTTTAATTACTACTCAAAACACTTACTTGTTATATAGCATTGAGCAAGATCTTAACCTTTTGGAGCTTTGGTTTATTTATTCATAAAATAAGATTTACTTTAGGATCAAATACGGTCAACTCTGCAAAGCACCTGTCACAGTGCTTATAATCAATAGAGATTTCTGTTTGATCCATACTTACATTTGGGCTTTGGTTTCAGAGAAACTAAACTAGCACCATGACGATATTTCTAACCAGGAAGAGGCCCAGAAAATGTAACTTTGGTTTGGGAATTGAAATGCTTCATTCTGGAGCTAGTTGTTAGGTGTTGCGGAGTTGGTTCTTAATCATAGTAAGAGCCTGTGCAAAACATGAAGTGTGTTCACATGACTATGCGGCTATTTTGGCTAGAACACCTCAGAGATTTGAGAAGATGAAGAAAACATCCAAGTAAGAAGAATCATGACTGCCTTTGTCAGAGACAGATTAGGACCCCTGGGCCTCTACTATACTGGCTTCGTGGCCACCTCCTAATCTTAGGTCTTCCCTCTCTGGGCACAGACCAGAAGAAGGGGGAGACATTTCTAGTACAACCAAAATAGCTTAACACCTAACCACCAAGATCTTGGACACACCATGCGGTTTATGATATAGGCACGCAAGTGCAGAAATAATAAAGTCATGTCAAACTAGAAGGGGTCTTTGTAATATCATTATCATATGTTACCTCCCATGCATACAATTAAAAATCTGGGAAATCCAGGAAATGAGCATTTGCAGGCATGTGCAGTAACAGGTGACATGGTCAGCCCACACCGCCTAAACCTGGGCAGAACCCAATTCCTGGAGGAGACGCCACACTCTTATAGGCGAGCGCTCCTCACTTCTGTGAAGTGTACTTTCACTATGCAATAAACTGCCTTAAGTGAATGCTCAATTGTACAGATGTAACTGACAAACAGCAATTCAGCTGAGACAGATTCTTAAGACTCCTTGAGAGCAGAGGACCAGGGTGAATGTATCACTTGGACAAATTCTAGGTCTTAGACTTCCCTCCTCAGTTTGGTCAATGAAGTTGTAGCTTGTGATTCCAAATTTGTTGTCTTATGAAAAAAAAAAACAAAATAAAAAAACTAGTGAATATACGACTATACACACCAGACCATTTGCCAATACAACCGTCCATAATGTCCAAATTCATGGCAGATTATGCTACTATGATTGTTTTCCTTTTCCAAAATATTCTATTATTAATATAAACTCAACGCAACCACAAACAAAATTTCTTCTCCCTATCTCTGATAACCATTAATAATCTTTGGTTTCTGTATACTTATTTCGTGTAAGTGAAATCATACAACTGAATACTTATTTCACTCAGCATATCTTTTTTTTATTTTATTTGGGTGAAAGTTTACAAAGCAAATTAGTTTTCCATTCAACAATTTATACTCATTTTGTTTTGTGGTATCAGTTCCAATTCCTTCCATGTATCAGCACTCTTTATACTTCCTCTCTGGGATCCCTGTTACCCATCTGGTCTTCTTTCTTGTTGCTTCTTGCCTTCTGAGCTTTGTTTTGGGGCAAATGCTGTCCTTTTGTTCTGGTATGTTCTGAGTGGTACATGCCGCATATACTGTTTCCTTATAGACCTGTGTCCAATGCTTGCCTGAAATTGATCCCTAAAGGTGGTTGAAGAATGTCTAAAGGACACAGTCTTAGGGGGTGCTACCTGTCTGTCTCTATCAGTCCCATAGGTCTGGTCTTTTTTTAATTTTGAATTTTTTTCTGTATTTTTTCTCCTATTCTGTCCAGGAGTTTATATGGTCCCGGTCAGAGTGGTCAGGAGTGGTAGCAAGGTAAACATCTAGTTCTGGTCTCAGGGTAACAGAGAATGAGGTTCTCATTGTCCATTAGTCCTCTGGACTATTTCATTGACTGTTATTTTCTCCACTCTTCTTTATCTTCCTCTGAATAGTTGTATCTTAGATGGCTAGTTGCTAGCTTTAAGACCCAGTCACTAACCACCCCAAGCAGGATGAAGAACACAATCTGTGAACTCTGTTATAACACTGGACTTACCTTTCCTCTGAGAGTGTTTCAAGGTCCATCCTACAGTGTGCACCAGACTTCACTTCTTTTTACTGCACAATATTCCATTGTATGGTTACATCATATTTTGAGTATCTACTGATGGACAATTTGGTTTTTCAACCTTTTGGATATTGTCCAAATCAGTTTTATAGTTTTCTTGTTCGCTCTTGTTGTGTGCCACTGAATTAATTCCAACTCACAGTGACATTACAGGAAAGAGTAGAATTGTCCCATTGGATTTCCTTGGCTGTAATCACATCAACATTTTCCTCCCATGAAGCCACTGGTGGGTTTGAACTAACAACATTTCAGTTAGCAACTAAGTGCCTAACCATTATACACCAGAGTCCTTATTAACTTTTACCGTTGTTATCGTTGTTCATTTGTATTCAGCTACTAATATCCCAAAATGCTGAAATGTTATAAATGTATACACTTTATACAGTTTCAAATAATAAATGAATGATATCCAAACTCCCCCTCCCCATAACAGTAACAAAATTACCTTTCCGGGCTTCTTCCTCCAGTTCATCCCAATCCTTTCCGCTCTCTTCTTCACTGCCCAATGACTCCTTAGAGTAGTCTGGAACAAAATTAACCAAGCATTGAAGTCATTAGACACTATTGGAATGGAATGACAGAATTTTTCCCCTTTAAAAAAGTAGTTTCCAGATATGATAATAGATGAGGAAGTCATGATACACTCTTGCTTAAAAGATTAACCTGATTCTTCTGCTTCGGATGAATAGTCTTCATCACTATCCTCTTCTTCCTCTTCATAATCATCTTCTGAAGGGTTAAAAGTCTCATCTTCAATTTCAGATTCTGAATCCCCTTCCTCAGCATCACTCCCCTAGTGAGTTAAGAGAGTAGAATATTGTTTACACCAACATTATTTCTACAACAATGAGTCAAAAATTATCCATTCTCTGGTTATATTAAAATGCCCATCCACATCCATAGCTGATGACATTGAGCATGCATGTGAAATGATTCTGTCGAACAGATGAGTGACAGTGGATTATGTGGCAAATCTTTTGCAAATCAGCTATGGCTCAGCCTATGAAATAATCCACAACAGAATTGGGTTTCTTTCAAAGTTTGTGCAAGATAGCTGCTGAAACAACTCATGGAAGAGCATAAACAGAAGCATTTGAACATCTATAAACAAAGTTTGGACCGAGAAGGTAAAAATTA